TATGGTGGGGACCCGGCTTCCTGGGCATGGTGGCCTCACGCTGGGTGCTGACAACTCCGTCCCGGTCCCCGCAGGAACCAGGCAGTGCGCATCCAGGAGGGCCGGTACCGCCACCCGGGCTGCTACACTTGTGCGGACTGCGGGCTGAACTTGAAGATGCGGGGCCACTTCTGGGTGGGAGACGAGCTGTACTGCGAGAAGCACGCCCGCCAGCGCTACTCGGTGCCGCCCGGCCTTAGCTCTCGGGCCTGAGCCCCTCCCCACTTTCCCCTCTGCAGCCCCCGGGCCGGCTGTGCCAGTAGCAAGCTGGCGTGGCAGGGGTGATGGTGAGCAGTGGCTCTTCCGTGAACTAAACTCGGGGGCCTGAGGCCCCTCCATCCTCGCTGGCTGAGGCCAAGGTCTGGCACCTGTCTCGGGCTGCAGAGGCTGGGGGCAGCCTCACCTTCCCTGGCCTCTCTCTGCAGGACAGGCACCACACCAGGCTGAGGTGGCCACGGCGTTGGATGTCTCTGTGTCCCTTGGGGCTGAGCTGTGTTGAACACAGAAGTATCTAGAAAGAGAGATGTGGGCCAGAGACAAACTGTATTCACTGTGTAAAGTTTTCAACACATGAGCTCTATAAATATATAAATGTGGACAAAATAGTAGATGCTCCCTTTCCTCTCCTCTCGCCCAGCCCTTGCATGTGAGCTGCTCCCTCCCACTGGGCGGAGAGTCCTTATTTCCCCCACACACACCTTGAAGTCCCCCCACCCTACCGGGTGTCCCCTACCTGGCATTCCCATGGATCAGGCTTTAGGCGAGGCTGCTCCTTGACCCTTCTGAAAAGAGGACTCCTCTTTTGGAGGGACTGAGGTTCTCACTGTGAGCCTGGGGAGGGGAAGGCAGGCTGGAGGGAGGCCCAGAGACCCCTCGGGCTGGGCTGGGCTGGGCTGGGCTGGCTGTCTGTCTGTCTCTGCGGCTGTCATGCTACCTGGTGTGGACGCCACCAGCCCTGATGCCACATGGGCACAGAAGAGGCCGTGGTGACGGAGCACGCAAGGGAGGAGGGCTTGAGTCAAGGTGGGGGCAGTGGTCCTCTACCAGCCCACGATTTTTGGCCTGATTCACCAACCACCCCTAACCCTAATCCCTGACGATGTTTCAGAAAGTCCTTGCAGGTGCTGCTGGGTGCTCCAGATCTGGCCTCCCCGCAGTGAGCCTGGGGGTGGGCGGTGGTCCTGGCTCTGTCTTCACAGAGAAGATCAAAGGGGACTTCAGAGGGGGCCTGGCAGTCTCCTCCAGCGGCTCTGTGCGATCTGGCTCATTTTGGAAGGAATCTTGGCACAGACTGTTTGAGTTGCCTCCTCAGGCACCTGTTGATATAATTTACACCTTGATATAATTGGCTCGCCTTTTGCCTGGATGGCTGCCTGACGACGGGCCTTTATTTTTATAGAAAAGATCAGGGCTGGCTGTCTGGCCCTGGAATCTGTCTGCCCAGGGCCAGAGACAGGGAGCCTCTGTGGCGCCACCTGGTGTTCGGTGCAGCACACGGGGGAGGATGTTCGCAAAAGAAACTCAGTTCGCTGGTAGAATGCCTGGGATCTCAGCACAGTGGGATGACAGAAAGATCTGGCACTTTCCTGGAGATAAAAGGCAAGTGGCAGCACTCGAGCTGGCATGGATGGAACTGCTGGGTGGCAATGAGTGCTAAGGAACACACAAAGGAGCGCCCAGTGAGTTCACAGTGGCCGTCGGCGCGGAAGGATGCCCAGGTCTTGGACAGGGAAGGAGAAGAGTGCTCAGTGGTGGTGACTGCAGGTGGGATGCTTGGTTCAGAGTGGTGGCTGGCAGGGTGCTCAGATAAGATTGGAAGGGGTCGGGAATGCTAGCCTGGTTCTGGGGACACTTGGAAGATTTTAAGCAGGGAGGTGACAAGTTGGAAAAGGTGGGCTGGACTGACTATTGCTGTGGTCAGGTCCCGGCCTGTGACAGACCATGCTGGGCCAGCAGTGTCCTAAGGAAAGGGGGACAAGTGGTGTGATGGGGACACAGTGAAATGGACATGCCAGTGAGTTGCTGAACGCCTTCCAAAGGCTGAATAGCTTCAGGCTCAAATCTACGCATGGCCTGTGTTTTTTGGTTTGTTTTATTTTCCCCCCATTTATTTTTTATTTGTATATGTTTGTGGGGTACAAGGGCAACTTTGCTACAGTTGTACCTGCCAAGCAACCTCCCATCGTCCACTCCCACCCACCTGCCCTTGTCCTTCAGCTGTGGCCCCTAGCTCTCCCCCGGGGGGCCAGAGGGTTTTAGCACCCAAGTTCTGTGGGGCCACATGGCTGGCCGGAGCTTGGACGTGAGCTCCTCTGGGAATGAAGTCATTAGTCAAACAGGGTTGTCAGCAGAGAAGGCTGAGGACAGGCTTTGGTCTCTCACCCCTGCTTCTTCCCTACCCCACACCAGCTGGCTGCGAGCACCCACCCCTCTGCCCAGATGCCCACTGGTGCCCCGTACTGTGTCCGTAGTGTGCCCTCCCCACTCCTTTCTGCATTTCAGGGACTCACTTCAGAAGTGACAGATTTGCATTAGAAGTGGTCTGAGAGAGCATCGGATACAGCCCCAAGCTCCTGTGGTTAGAGATGGGATGTCCCAAGTGACACTGCAGGACAATAATGGCTGATGATTAAGAGTTCCTTTTGATGTGCTAGGGACCTTTTAGATGCTTTAGTTCACTCCTCACAACTCTGGGATAGGTATTGTTGTCATCCTTGCTCTGCAGATGAACAAACTGGGCATGGGGAGGTGAAGTTCCTGTTCCCAGGACTCCTGGCTAGTAAGGGGAGGGCCCAAGAATGGAACCAGGGGTCCTGGGTTTCTGGCTTATAGCTGGTGGGGAGCCCCTGCCCCTCTGTCACCAGAGGCAGGCTTCTGGGGACAGCTCCAGCCACCTGGCCACAACGGGAGGCCGCCACAGCCCTCCCCAGATGGGCAGGAGCTGTCTCTAGGCTCCTGGCTTTGCCTTCCTGCTTCAGCCAGCTCAGGCTGCCGGCTCAGGCTGCATTCGCAGGAAACAGGCTTCCAGCGGAGGGACTTCCCCATGGCGGTGCAGGGCCGCTGGGCATCCCTGGCCTCAGCCTGGGGATGATGCCACTCTGGCCACCCTCTGTCTCAGGAACTCAGGGTGGCTGCTCACCTTGCCAGGCGGGCAGCAGGGCGTGGCTCTCTGCCCTCCCATTCCTCCTGTATTGCTCAGAGAGACTGAGGACAGTCTGCACAGGGCCACAGAGCCCTCTGGGAAGTGAAGGTCTGGCAGGGCTCCGGACTTGGGGCTGCCACATTCTGGAAACACGCAGGCCCCTTCCTCGCAGGTTGGGTCTCAGATCCTACAGGGCTCCTACCTTGCTGTGTGTGCATCGGCACAGAGGGTGGGGGCTGTGGCCTGGCCCAGTGTGTATGTTTGGGGGGGGTTCTTTTGAGTCACACACAAAGCGTTGTGCTGAGACACTGCATTCCTGCTGGCTGGGCTTCCTGTTTCCAGATGCATTTCTGCCCCAGAGTCACCACGGAGACTGCTTGGAATCCGCCCCACATTCTCCAAATTCAGGGCGTGATAGGCAAAGGTTCCCTCCTCTTCACCTCCCCACCCTTTTACCTTGGAGGGAGGAAGCCACCTGATCGCCCTGCACTCCTGCCCTCCTGCCTTGGGGGCTGGCAGGGCTGGGGAGGTTGCTGCCACTAATCTGCTTGGACTTGCCTAAGGCAATCACTGCCAGGCCCTGCACTCTCGGGTTCCCTCTCTGCCTGTGCAGAAGCAGATTGGGGGGAGGGGGACAGAGTGCCCAGAAGGATGGGACCCAGAGGGGCAATCCAGGGGACCCATGGCCAGCAGGGAAGGGCTTGGACCTAAACATCAGGGTGTTGAGACGTGGCCAGCAATTCAGGCACCTGGCTCTCATTCTGTCCACCCAGGGCTTGGCTGTGGGCCTCAGTTTCCCTAGCTTATAAAGTTATAAAATCTGATAGTTGGTGGCTCTCTGATGAAGGCTCCTGTGGATGGTGTTTGAGGGCGGGAAGGAGCAGGGAGCAGAGGGGGTGGGCAGACTGTGTTCTCCCTCCCAGTTAAAAACCACTTCCTTCCAGTGGCCGGGCTCCAGCCCCTCCCCCAGAGGCCCAGGTGCTAGCTCGCACGTCCCCAGCTCTCTTATCTGCCTCGGGGGATTTGGGTCCCGCTGGGATTTTTTCCAGCCCTGCCTCCTCCCTTAGGAGGAGGAGACTTTCTTCCTCCAGCCCTGTCTGGTCACCCGGCTGTCTCACCCCCTTTAAGGACGGGGAGTGGGTGGTGGAACCCCACGGGCGGGAAGGGCGGGCGGGGACAGGCAAGCATCTACACTTTGGCCCAGGCTCGGGGCTGCTCCTGTCCGCTGGTTCGCGTCTCCCCAGGCCCCAAACACCCACCCAGCCCCCAGCGTTAGGGCACCCGGGACGGGGCGTGGGACGGCAGGGCTCCAGACGTAGCCCAGGACACACAAGGGCCCTGCGGTTGTAGTGAAGGATTTCCCGCGGGGCAGCAACGGAGTCCCCTTTCATCGCGCCAGGTTCCTGAGGGATTTGCCCCGAAGCCCCGGGAGCCCGCGTCCCGGTCCGCGCACTTCCCACCGCCAGCACGTGGGGCTGTTTCCTTCCGGGCTCCGTCCAGTTCTCCCCCCGCACCCGCGGGCCCCAGGCGGGCGGCAGGAAGACAGCCCCGGCGTGTGGACCGGGTGGGGCGGGCTGCCGGCGCCCCGAGCCCGACGGCGTCCCCAGGCGGGGGCCGCGCTCCGCGCAGGACAGCGGATCCCGGCCCTTATCCTCAGCCCTGGGGGCGGCAGGGCGGACGGGCGAGGGGTGGCCGCGCGCCGCGCACCTTGCCCCTCCCTCCCGGCCCCGCCCCTGGCCCGCCCCGCCCCCCGCCGGCAGTGTCCCGGGGCCGCGCCCAGCTGCGTCGGGGCGCGCGGGCTGAGCCGCCGGAGCGGCGGGGGACGGGCCGGGAGCGCCGCGCAGGCTGTGGCGGGAGCGGGCCATGCTGGGCCGGCGGCGCGTCTTCGCTGTGGACGGCCGGGGTGAGTCGCCCGCCCCCAGGCCGGCCGGGGTCCCCTGCCCCGGGGCCGCCCCTGCGCCCGCCAGCCTTCAGGGGCCGAGACATTAGGCTGGGGGCTCCTCGCAAGTTGGAGACTGGGCTTTGGCATTAAAGCAGCCATCGCCTCCATCCCTCTTCCCTGTCACCCCCTGCCGCAAGCCTGCCGGCTGGGGGGCGTCGTCTGAGCCCACTGCCTGCGCCCTCGGTGCACGTCCCCGGCCAACGGGCGGTACCGGCATCTCCAGGCCTCCTGGCCGGCTTCTTGCTCAGAGGGGGCCGGATTGACATCCAACCTCCGCCTGGAGGGCTCGGGTTCTGCACCCAGGTCACAGGAAGGCCCGACACAGAGATGACAATGAGCGGGTGCTCATGCTCCCCTCTTCCCTTCCTTTCACTTAAGTCCTCCCTTTTAAACTCTTCGCAAAATCTTCACTATTTCTCACTTAAAAACACGAAAGCCCAACGTGGCCAGAGCTGTTACTTTGATCACCCTCCCCAGAGAGGCTTCATCTTGCATCCTGACTTGGGGGCCGAGGAGAGCAGTGTGGTCCCTAGGCTTGTCTTTGTGCCCTTCCCCCTCTGGCGAGGCGGCACAGCCCTACTCCCCTGGGGGAGCAGCTGAGGAGCCTGTGGCCCGATGTATGACTTGAGCGTTGTGGCCAACCCTAGTGGGGACAGCACAGGGCTCCTGTGGCCTGAGCTCCTTACTGCTACAATTATTGTCAAGAAGGGACCCCCCTCCCTGCGGTTCCCAAGCAGAACTGGGCACTATCTGGGTGGGGCTGTGGCTGTTCCGTGTCCTCCCTTCATCGCGGGTACAGGACGCTCCTCCCCGGGAGTGCTGCCAGCTGCCAGGAATGCTGGGGGCGGTGGGGGCCTGTGCCCAGCCTGACACCGACTCTCCTTGCAGATGGGGCCGGCGAGGACCTGGCACGTGGCTGCGTAGTGCCAGGGGTCACCAGCACCTACAGACGCATCCCGGACGTGGTTCATGAGTGCTCGGCAGATTCCTGGCAGTGGGGTGGTGAGTTGAGAGGCGTCGAGAGGCAGGTGACGCTTCTCAAACTGGCCTCCCGGGACTCAGGAGTGGAGATGGCAGTTGGGGATAGCCCCCTGGCCACCTTACCAGGCCTTTCTCAGGACTCTCTGGACTTTGAGGCCCTGGGGAGCCCTGAGCTCCCGGCCCAGCGAGGCCGGCTTCTGGCCAGCCGTAAGCTGGAGCAGGTGCTGGAGCGGTCCCACCGGCCCGCCAGCGTGTCAGGACAACACCGCCCCCTGCGGCCACCAAGCAAGCCAGAGTGTGAAGTGCCTCTTTTTGGAGCAGGGGAACAGGAGTCCACTGAGGCAGACACAGATGGAGAGGCAGGCCTGGAAGCGACACAGGTGGTGAGTGCCAGTTCTCAGGCTGGGGACAATAGGGATGAAGTCAGCTCACCCCGCGCTGGCTCTCCCTGGAGCTCTCTCGGGGTGGGGCGCTCCTTGCCCCTAATTTGCCCAGTGGTGTCATAGCTTCTTGCCTCACCTCACACCCTGCTGTGGTGGCCACCCTCGAAGAGGAGACAGGTAGCCACGTACGGACCCTGCCTGGAACTGAGCCTGGCTTGGTGCTGGGGCAGCAGCTGGGTGTGCTCCTCCTCCTCCACCTGCCTGCCCTGCCCCCATCTGCTGGCCAGGCACGCCAGGCTGCCTGGGGTGGGGTGGGGATCTAGTTGAGTCCAGGAGTCTCCCCTACCTCACTGTGTCCCACAGGTGGGAAGCTTGGGGCCCGCAGCCTGGGCCTGCCTCCCGGGGCAGGGTCTCCGCTACCTGGAACACCTGTGCCTGGTGCTGGAGCAGATGGCACGGCTCCAGCAGCTCTACCTGCAGCTGCAGACCCAGAGGCCCCCTGGGGTGAGTGAGCTTGGCCGGGGAGGGGACTTGTTAGGCCATCCAGTGAGGGAAGCAGGGGAGGGGCAGGAACCCTGGAACTGTGGCTGCCTTCAGAATAGCCTCCACCCTCTAGTTGGCCCTGACTGCCCCCTCTCCCCTCTGCACAGGATCCTGCCGAAGAGGAGTTGGCTGTGGCCCCATTGCCTTCACCCTCACAGCCCCCAGGCGATGCGGTGCAGGGGCCATGGGAGCTGCAAAGCCAGATGGAAAGGACAGGTGAGGGGCATTGAGTTTCCCTCTATGTCCTGCCTGCCCAGGGTCCCACCAGCAGACCCTCTGAGCCATAGCCTGATGGAGTGGCTTCCTGTTCCTGGCCCTGGGTAACCTGACTCTTTTTCTGAAGGGACAAATGCAGCCAGCACCAACCCTCCCAGGCTGCCAGGGGCCCCAGTGGAGCCAACTCACAGCTTTCCGTGCTGCCAGGGACACAAGGTAGGCAGTGGGCATATGCGCGGCAGGTGGCAGGATAGGGTGGGATGGGATGGGAGGTGGGGACATTGGGCACCCATTGGCCAGAAACCCTGGGAAAAGGACAGGATTGATTCCTGTTTGGAGCAGGTGACTTGTCCTGGCTGTGGTGACAGCTATCTCTGGGAGCTTGGTTGGGGGTATGTGTGTGGGGAGGCCTTTGTGGTGACCCCCTCATCCTCTGCTCAGCGGGATACCTCCCACTGGGACAAGGTCAAGGTCCTACTCAACCGGATCCGCTGGAAGAGCCATCAACAGCCTGAGTCCCTCACCCCTCCTGGCAGTTCCGGCCCCAGGTGAGTCCTGTGCCCAGCCCAGGTTAGGGCAGGGAGAGGAGACTGATGAACCAGAATGCTCAGATTGTCCTGCTACTTGTCATTTTTGTCCCTATGAAGCTTGAGAGGCATAGATGGTCTTGGAGGGGGTGCTGGAAGAAACAGAAGGTAGTTAAAACACCCCATTTTCAGATGAGGAGGCTGGGTTCTGGGTAGAGTTGGGGGTAGTTGCTTTCCCAAAGCCACACAGTAAGTCAGTGACAGGAGTGGAATGTGGGAAATCTCCTCACCCCAGCTCAGCAAGCCCTCATCCCTCGGTGCTGGAATTTATGCCCCTCCCTGAGTTTGCGGGGTTGGGGAGCCAGGGAAAGGCACAAGCATTCCACAGTGGGTGCAGTCCTTCATGTCTTGGGTTGTCCTGAATAATTCTCCAAGGGGCAGCAGCAGCAAGTCATTTCACATCCTCAGGCTCCCCGCAGCAGATACACAGTATTCTCTCAACTTGGGGGCCATTGTTACCTTCATTCCCACCCAATGTCTCCTTTCCTTTTCCACAGGATTGAGCCTAGGGACCAAATCCCTGAAAGGCCTCAGTGCTGCATCCACCGGAAAACCTTTATGCCATCATTAGTGGTTAAGAAGCAACGAGCAAAAAACCTTTCTGTATGCTGAGACCTCTTGGTGCAGCAGGTGACCCTGGGTGGAGAGGATTGCCATGAAGTCTTCCTCACCCTTTACCCAGTTGCTGCTTCTCCTCACTGCCAGGAAAAGCTGTTGACACTTGCCCTTCTCCCCAAGGCAAGGGCTGAATCTTTCTCCTCCAAGCAGCCTGGCAGAGGAGCCCTGTTGCCCGGAGAGGCCCCCAAGATCTGGCAGCTCTAGGGCTTCTCCTCCTTGCCAGAATCCCTGGACATAGATAATGTGAACTAACTTATCAGGCATCTGTGGAGTGTGTTTGGCATGGTCATCTGTCTGAGCCCAGCATGTTGCAGATGGGAAATTGTGAACAATGAGTCTCTCTGTGGGACTGCAGTGTTGTAAACTGCCTGGATCCAACCATCTCCTCTGGAATCGTGCATCCAAAGGTTGGTCTTTTGGGTGAGATAACTGCTGAAGGATGGAACTGACCTTCATTCCGCAGTGGGCGGTTCCTGAACTTTCCTCCTCATGGCTGTGCTGGCAGCTCTGGGACAGAGCATGGCGCTGCCTTGGCTGCCTCTGCATGGAGTCTTGCCCCCTGGAGCAAAGCCCTGGAAGACTGCACCAGGAATGGGGACGATCAGGCACAACATGAGGAACAGCTGAGTAACGTTCAGAGTCCATTCTCAGCTGCTCTGCTCCATCCTAGCTTTTACATGTCAGAACTGAAACCAGAAACTCATACTAGTTTTTAGACCCTGACAAATTCTCAACTTTCCTGAGCCACAGCTTCCCACGTGGAACAATGATCCTGCCTTACCTACCTCACAGGCTTGTTAGCATAAAATGAGATTAAACTGCCTCAAAGTGCTTCGTGAATGTTAAGTGAACAGGAAAGGGGAAGGCGTGGGTGCTGGCAGGGGGCTGGACTGGAGGGATGATGGGGAGGCCAGCACTAATAGGGACTAAAATGGCCATTTTCCTGGCAAGATTTTGAGCAAGTCATATCATCGAGGTCTCCTAGGTTCCACATTTGAGAATTAGGGCACTGATTCCTGACTTGCTCACCACCAGGGCTGCTGTGGGAGTGAAGTCCATGGAAAGACAGAGTGCTAGGGATGCGCGTCAGTGGCTTGAGTAAGCCACAGGAATGTCTCCTAGAAATGGCCATTGCTCAGGCTCCTCCAGTCAGGAGGGGCTGGTTCTCTTGCTGCTGCACTCTGGGCGCTGCCAATGTGAGGCAGGAGTAGTAGGCGAGGGCGCTAACTTGCGCAGGGTCCAGCTCCAGCTACATTGGCACTAGGAACCAATACTCTCATGCCTACTTTTCTAGACGGACACTTAAGCGAATACACCAGGCGCGGCTTCTTAACGCGCATCCGATCCAGGAAGGCGCACTTCCGTTCCCCAGTTCAGCGGGATGGCAGGCCGGCGTGGGGGAAGGGAGAGGTCGGTGGAGACGAGGGAGGGACCATATCCGGGAGAGTGGCAGCTTCCGACCAGTGGTCGCGCTTCCGGAGAGACGCTTCCGGTGGCGGCGGCAGCAGCGGCTGTGGTGGTTCCGGGTGTCTTTGTCCCCCCGGTGTCGCGGCCCTGGCCCGCAGGTGGGTAGGGGAAGCCCCCGCCGCCTCTCGGCTCCGTCGCCCCTCCGCTCCTGCCTCGGCCGAGGGGCTGCGAGGACCCGATGGCGAAGATGCGCGGGGCGCGGAAGGAGCCAAGCCCCCCTTCGGGCTGCAAGTCCGGTCTCCCTGGCAACGGCCTCGGCCCTGGGGGCGGGCGGGAGGAGGAGAAACCGCGCGCCTTCGTCCGCCCCCGGTGGCCTCGCCGCGGCCGGGCCGGGACACCTGGCGCCGCGGTGCTGAGGCCGGAGCGGAGGGCTCCGGAGCGTGGGAGCAAGAGGGCGGGCGCGCAGCTCGTTTTGCGTTCGGCCGGCCAGGGAGCCACCTTCCCACCAGCCCGTCGGAGAAACAACGGGCCGGGCTTCCGGGGAGCGGGCCCACAGCGTCTCCTCGCCCGCACCGGCCTCCTCCATTTTCCCGGGCCCTGCGTGGAGGGTTTCGGCGGATATTTTTGAATGAATGAATGTCACCGGGGTTCTTTCCAGCCCTCCACCCCAGCAACTACTCTGGGGGTGGCGTGGCATAGTGAGAGGACCGCTAAGTTGTTGGGAGACGTCGGTGTGAGTCTCAGTTTTGTCTCTAGTTATGTGGCCCCGGCAAGTCTCTGGATCTCTCTGAGCTTCCGTTTCCTTTTCTGTGAAACAGTATGACAGTATCACCCACCGCTGGGTTATTGTGAGGGTAAACTGGAAATAATGTAATTTCTCATTTTATTTACTGATTTCTTTACATTTTCTCCGTCCATGGCCTTCATTCAGTCTCCGTATCCACCTCTCTGCTTTCCCGAAGATCCTTAGTTACTTAAGGTTCTCCACCTTTCTGGGGGTAGATAGAAATCTCCCATATGAGCTGTTAATGTATTTCTTTTTGGATTGAAGGTTTTTCCCCAAGACTCTGAAAGAGGACAGCATTCCCAATGTCCCAGTTTAAGCGCCAGCGGATCAACCCGCTTCCAGGGGGACGCAACTTCTCAGGTGAGCCTCATACTAGGAAGTACGTGCTCTCGAGTTATTTTCAAATATTGGCTTTCCTTGGTGGATAGCAGTTTGTTGCTGCTGCTGTTTTTTAGTCAAACAGGAGATGCCCAGTGGTTGCCAGTGAAGCCCTGTGGAGGAGCTGCTTGGAGCTTTGCACTTTGGGTTTACTGTGTCCTCTGGCTGACTCTAGTACTTAAGGTGGTAGTTGCAGTTCCTGGAGATTGCTTCTCTGTCCCCATAGGCACAGCTTCAACATCTCTTCTGGGCCCTCCTCCTGGTTTGCTCACTCCTCCTGTGGCCACAGACCTGTCCCAAAATGCCAGGCACCTTCAGGTAGGTTGGGCATCCTTCGTGGTGAGTTTCAGCCCTTGGGATTACCTAGCATGTGTGGATGCCTGATGCTCTTTGATTTCTTACATAATAGTGGTCATCGTTTCTGACTCCTGTCTTGGTAGTGGGCCAGTATGGAGGTGACTAGACACCTCTCATACTGGGGAGTCTTACTTTCTGGCTCCAGGGAAATCTTTGGGGTACCTCTGGGAATTAAAGAACTAGAAATCCTATAAGAAGCTTGTGAGCCAAGAATCAACTCAACTGTCCCCCACTCCAAAGATGGATTACGGCCACTATATACACATGCTTCACGATGCAATTCACTACATACATACATCTCGATGCAGTGCACTGAGCTAGGGTGTGGACAGAGATGAGACTCTAGTGGCAGAGTGAGGTTTTGCCGCCCAGGTTGCTTGCTGTTACTTTTTCAACTGCTGTCTTCCCTTACAGGGTGGGGAGAAGCAGCGGGTCTTCACTGGCATTGTTACCAGCTTGCACGACTACTTTGGGGTGGTGGATGAAGAGGTCTTTTTTCAGCTAAGGTAGGCTTGAGGCTGGTCCCCTACCAGAAATGCTTATTGGATTCAGTTCTGTCACCATGCTGGTGGCTCCCCCACCCCCAAAGCTACTGCTTTGCTGTTTTTATGCAAGATGTGAGAAATCTTGATGGAGATTCTCATGGAGGCAGTTAGGGTGGCTTGGCCAGGGTCCTTCTCCTGATGGGCCTCCTGGCTTGTGTGCTGGCAGTGTGGTGAAGGGCCGGTTGCCCCAGCTGGGTGAGAAGGTGCTGGTGAAGGCTGCATACAACCCAGGCCAGGCGGTGCCCTGGAATGCTGTCAAGGTGCAAACGCTCTCCAACCAGGTATTCACCTCTCCTGAGCATGTGCATTGGAAAGGGGAGGGATGGAAGCCCTGGGCCCTGACAGCTGGGCAAGGATATTATTTTTGTCGAGGGGGTGGGAGTGCATCTTTCCAAGGTAGTGAGTGAGTCAACCATGGGATCCCCTGAATTTCCTGTCTACTATCCTGCAGCCCCTACTGAAGTCCCCAGCACCTCCCCTTCTGCATGTGGCAGCCCTGGGCCAGAAGCAAGGGATCCTGGGAGCTCAGCCTCAGTTGATCTTCCAGCCTCATCGGATTCCCCCACTCTTTCCTCAGAAGCGTGAGTACCAGTGGCATGGTTGTTGGGGTGTGGCTTTATGGGGTACTCTGGATGAACGGGCTTGTAACTTTTAAGTTGCTGCTATTAGAATAGAAGTGGGTACTTCTGTGCACTGGAAGAAAGGGAGGGGGAAGCTGGACAGGGCTTTTGAGTCACTGGCCATTTCCTCTCTGCAGCTCTGAGTCTCTTCCAGACATCGCACACACTTCACCTGAGCCACCTGAACAGATTTCCTGCTCGGGGCCCTCACGGACGATTGGATCAGGGCCGAAGGTAAGAGGATGATTAAGCAGAAAAGATGTTTTATTTGCCTTTAGGAGTAATGGCCCTTTTTGGACACTTGTTGACACTAACATTCTGTTTCTGCAGCTAGATCCTAGTCCCTTTTCCCTGAAATCAGCAGACACATTGAAATGTATATATAAATATCGGAACTTTATACACTGGTTTAGCAAGCAGGGATTTGATATAGTTCATTATGTTGAGATACTTTTTTAAATATATGATTTCTTGACTCGGTGCAGTAGCTCATGCTTGTAATCCTAGTACTCTGGGAGGCTGAGGCAGGAGGATTGCTTGAGCTCAGGAGTTCAAGACCAGCCTTACCAAGAGAGAGACCTCATCTCTAATAAACAGAAAAATTAGCTGGACATGATGGTGTGTGCCTGTAGTTCCAGCTACTCGAGGGGCTGAGGCAGGAGGATTGCCTGAGCCCAGGAGTTTGAGGTTGTAGTGAGCTGTGATGATGCCACCGTACTCTACCCAGGGCAAAAGAGCAAGCCTCTGTCTCAAAAAATTTTTTTTCTTTTATTTCTAGTCCCTAAGATTGAGATACCAAGAATTGAAACTCTCAAGGAAATAGTAGCATGTCAAGAAAAGTAACATTGCAGTATGTTTTAGTTACTAGTTTCAAAGGTTTCTTTATATATATATACAATGTATACATCAGTACAATGTTAGAATGTTACATTGCACTGTGCTCAGAAATGCAAGCCTTGTGCCTTGAATGTGCAGGTAGCTTTCTTGGCCATACATAGAACAAGCATTTGAGCCTTTGAGGGGCATCCTAGGTGATCCTGTGTCATCTGTGAGCATTGGGGACTTTTAGGAGCATGCTGTCTATCCTCTGTCTAGTTCACACCTTCCATCTCTCCTCTCTCCCTCAGTTTTTTGCTAATATCTCTATGGGTTAAGCGCTAGTTTATGACTCATTCTAGTTCTATCTTCATTTTAACTTTTTATAATGGAAAATTTCACTTTATGCAAAGTAAACAGAAATGTGTGATGAACCCTCATGAATACCCATCTCCCAGCTTTAACAGGCATCATCATCCTATCTGCCATTCTTTTCTTTCCTTACCTCCATCTCCTCATTGCCCCTTGATTTTTTTTTTTTTTTAAGGATGAAATTTATGTGGATTGAAATGCATAAGTCTTATCCGGAACATTTTGACAAAGGGAAAATCCCATGTAACTCTCACCCCTATTAAAATTTAGAACATTCCATCACTCCAGAAAGTTCCTTCCTGTTGTAGCTCTCTCTTGAAATGAATGCAGTACATAGAAGAAAACACCCCCATCCCAAATGCCAGTACATGGCAAGAGCTGACAATGCAAACCCATGTAAACACTTCAAAGGAGCAAAGATTACTCAAAGAAAAAGTTTAGGCAAAGTGATGTAGCTAGTCTGTGTGCTGAAGCATTTGTTACCTTGGGGTAGGTCATTGTGAATTCTCACTCGGGAGCAGCTTTGTCTAGGATTGTCTTCCATGGTGT